ATGGCTCTTTTTAACCAATGAGGGGTGCTTTATACCCAAGGCAGATACTAAGATCAATCCCGGCCGTACGTAACCTACGCGTACTGACGGTGGAAGTGTGCACTGAAAGTTTTAATATTACGATGACAAATAGACCTCAGTTTCAGTAATGAACTTCTTACTTATTTAATGGTTTTGTCTTGGTTTGTCATTCCTGATCACTGAATAATTACGCCCACAAAGACAAACAACAGAGCCTGAAAGTAAAAGGTAACGAAGCGAGCTTCTGGAACAATCGCTCAGTCTGCCTACGAGGATTGTTATATTGGACCGTCATATTACGTTCGATAGTTTTTGAACCATTGGATCATTTCTAACAGAAACCATCCCAGAAACCATCATGTTGGAATTTCACCTTTGCCTTCCTCATGTAATACTGAGGAAAATCACCTGGAGATGGGTAAAAACGAAATTAATCAACGACCTTTCACTTCGGGCAATAATTATTGTTCCTAGGTCTCCTTGTTCACGCACCTTTGTTGTCACTCCCCGTGCTTACGTGCGTGAAAACGAGATTATACAACGTTGCAAAGGTTTACCTTCTTGCAGTCGATAGGTTCCATATTCACATGAGTTGACATGACGCAGTTGTTGTTAGCAAAGCGATTAGATTTAAACATTAGAATCTTTTGTAAAAGTAGATTATTGCTTTAAGTTTATTTCCTAATAAATCAAACAGTCAGTAAAGTATCTTTATCTGTTTTCTTTTTGGCTTTACCGACGGACTTCGGTTTACTTCTGTGAATGTTTATTTGCCTAGGAAACTGCGAAATTGCACTGTTCTTCAATCTTCAATGTACTTTAGAAATGGGTCAATTTTTGGCAGGATGTTCTCTTTTAGGTCAGGAGATTTTTAAGTGTCTATAAATTGATCTGCTTGCAAAGGCCTTTTCCGAGTTGAGTATAATTGAACGAAAATTATTAGGCCCTACCTATTCTAAAATATTTTTAGGTTTTCCCTACCCAAGGATTCAGAAAGCGCGCCATCAGGGGTCAACTTTCAGGCTCCATAGGAATTAACATTGATCATGTTAAAGGGGAGTCAGTGTGGCGTATAGGTATTGGTTTTTCCTCAACTTCCACCTCTGCTGCGTGGGTTCGATTCCCGGCTCGGTCCACGTGTGGATTGGGTTTTCAGTCCCTACCTGATTCCGTGGGTTTTGCCTGAAATATTCTCCTGGGGTTTTCCTCCCATCTCGTTGTAAATCTGAGGGCCTCCGTGGAAAGCAATGCTGTCACTGATCGGTGCTTACTCATTGAAAACGACATAAACCGTTAAGATTCGGTTGTTTGGAGGAGAAAACAATCTAAAACAAACAAACAAACAAACAACCCAACAAACAAACAAATCTAAAACATTCACACGTTTCTCTACCTCAGTCCTCTTTTGGAGAATTTCATAACAACCTCCAATTCTTTATTTTATACCTTTTATTACCTTACTAAAACGTCAACAAAGTTTTGTTCAAGAAAAGAGCTTTGGACAACAACTACTAGTTTTGCCAACTCACTATTTCTTGATTCTGCGTGAACGATAGGGGAAGACCTAATCTAACGAAGAAAAAAATGTTTGAGATTGTTATTTTCCCTAAGTGAACGAAAATTATTTCCTGAAATGAAAAAGCTTCTTGCGTGCAAGTTTTAACGTAGCCCACATTATATATGCAAATTACTCTTTAATTGAACGTGCGCGGTTCAAACGTCCAGCTGAATATACGTGTATTAATTGTTCAAGAATGGTCACGTGACAGTTTCTCTACCAATAGGGATGATTAAATTGTATTTATCAATAGGGAATAACTATACTCGGTCGATGGTACGCTCTTATTTTTCAATAATTTAATTTAATTCTCTTTTAACATTCTTCTACCCATGTTACGGTATGTGCCGCTTTTATACAAATTCTGTGTTAGGAGATTGTCGAGCACGCGGCGCGTACCGCTTGAGGTTGCACACAGCATGGAGGAATGACACAGAATGTGTTTGCCCAGGCCTATAACATCTGGCCAATGACCACTGTCTGGTATGTAATGTGGTTCTCAACCATTAGACCCTTAATTTGTACCCTATGATCGCCGAGCAAATCTTTGCTGTTAATATACACCCTTCAAACGCTGTGTACTATAAGAAAAGTGTAGGAAACTGAATATTCATGTCTCCGTTTGTTCTTGGAATGATCTCACAACAGAATCTAATTTGATTACGCAGTTGCTCCTTGTGCTAGGCCGAGTGCCCTTCATGTCCATGTCAGTTTCTGTCCTTCTCGAACGGTTTCTTTTGGAGTTATTTTGGGAATTAATGCCCAAGATGTTATATTTGAACCACTTGTATTACGGCATTTATACAAAAGTGTATATTTTGTGATCACAGGATCACTCCTGTGATGAAATAGCGCATATTGGTTTTTTTATGAAGTTAGCTTTCGAGTGGTGGTCAATATATTGTTGGTTAGTCTTAGTCAAATTCGTTTCAAGTCTTTGAAAACTGACGTTTGGAGGGACAAAAATAAATTAAAATCATTAAATGAATAAGACAGTTTATCACTAAGTGATCAAATGCTTTATTCTCAGACTTCATAATTAGTGTTTAATTGGTTAGCCACAAATAACTGCACTGAATAAAATAACTGCAAATAACACAAATAATTGGAACAGTTTGAAGCTTAATATATGCCAAAGCAACTGGAAAACTGCACATAGCGCAATGGAAAGATGGTCTTTGGTACATGCACGGGTTATGCATAATAATAGCTGCATGTGTATAAGGCCATTAGCAATTCTGTGCCAACAAGGGATCCCGAGCTGTGGCAGAGAGTCAATCAGCTGCTTTGGTGGCAGCTTTATTATGAATATCCATTGTAATCTGTCATTGCTGTAGACAGGGTGGTGAAACGTACTTTACAGAGGTCTTTGCACTTGGTTTTCTGTAACATAATTATGTGTGTAGTTCTCCTATGTGTAACAGTCTGAATGGATTGTAATTTACAAGCAGTACTCTGTGTTAGCATGGCTCTGTGAAGCTGATAAACCAGTTAATCCAATTACATTGCAATTTGTGACGAGAAAAACTGAGGAATCTGCCCTATGCTTAACTACCAAGAAGGGGGACTTTGAGAATTAGGCGGTACATCTTCTATAGTTGAGGGATGGCATGATGAATTTAGGGGACGTAATTTTGATTTCAGTTTTGTCACAGTCTTTATGGAGTAAACATCAATTGCAGCTTTCAAACTTTTGATTACCCACCTTCGCCCTATCTCCGCCTTGTGATAAATACCTTGTGAGAAGGGAATCTTGACATTGTGCTTGGCATGATCGCCAATCATTGGTTTAGTGCTTCCTGGATGCCCACCGGAGCCATTTATTCCTCCCGGTGGTACAGTTCGGGGAATTGTATCCTGCGCAAACATCAGTTATCGTGGCACATTTTAAGCAGTTTTTGGCGGGAATTCGACAGACACTGTCAAGAGATAATCATAATGACCAATACATTTATTTGACCATTTACAATTGCTCTAGCATACAATGGAGGCACTATGACAGTATTTTCAATGTTTTGTGGCAGAAACTCGAATGGCTGCATGGAAGTTCACCAAGGACCGTTCCTCCCATAACTCTAACGGGGGAACACTGGGTGCCTGCAGGTTTAATAGTTCAGGTTTAGTGTTTTCACGACAGAGTTCTTATTGGTATTGATTTAACATGACTGTTGGCGCTTACAGGTTTCAGGGTCTGGTATGCCCGAATGTTATTCAGCATTTATGTGGTGAGCCACGTGTGTTATAATTGTTACATTAACATGGTCTGGGGTGCCATGTTTAGAGTTGTATAATGGTGGGCCAGGTGTGGCCTATCGATGGCCTGGTGTGCCATGTTTATGGTTGGCCTGGAGCGCCACCATTGCACGTGTGATGGTCTGGTGTGCCCTAAATATTAACATGGTCTTGTGGGCCACTGTTATGGTGGGCCTGTTGTGCCCTTTTTCATGGCTGGTTTGGTGTGCCGGATGAAAATGCGATTTTGTTGCGAGTTTGCCCCCCCATTTCTGGTATCAGGCAATATTCAGCAAGTTTTGGAAATAAAACAAAGCTGTGGCAGAAAAACAAACAAAGTGAGTGTGTGTGGAGTGATTTATTTCATTCTGAGAATTATGGAACAGTGTTTCAAAATAAACAAAAGGTTTATTCACGATGGCAAAAGAAGATATTACGTTGGAGATTTTTCTCTTCTCTCTATATCCTGATCACCGCGATAAGTTAAAGTTAATCGCATGCACTTGTTCGGGTAAGCCGCAATCAGCAGGTATAATTGGACTTTTTTGGAATGTTTTCCATTATTTGCCTGACTGGGCGGCGACCATCAGAGCACTTCGAACAGCAGGAGTTGTTACTCCTCTTTTGTTTTTCCTCCATACACACAGCCGGTACTTTATCCACCGTTTAAGAACGACCATTTGGCAGGCTCTATAGGCCCAAGGAATGACTAATGTTTTACGTATTTATGATTTGCTGCTAATTGCATTACGCATTATTGAATTCATAGTAAATGATGACAACAGCTGCAGCGTGTTTGGTTTATAACGGGAAGTCATAATGTACCCTTTCTCTTGTTTTTTATCAATCTATTGACAATATGAAAAACGGAAGTTAATCAGTAAATGTAGTTTGGTCTGCTCGTTCCGCAACAGAGGCTGAAGTAACGTGATGGGCTCTATGGAAGGAATGCCTAAACTGTCCTGAGTATATTTGATTTTTTGCTAATGGGGTTACGCATTATTCAATTCTGGATTAAAAGATGACAACAGTTAATAAGGTGTCTTATGTCTTATAATGTGTCCCCTCTCTTGTATATGTCTGTTGGCAATATGAAAAACAGAAGTTCATCAGTTAATGCAGTTTGGTCCGCTCATTTCCATAACAGAGGCTCAATCAACGGACGAAATCACCAATTTAGTTCAGTTCGGCAAGATGATTATGTGCCTGGGAAACATCGGCTACACTGAAGGTTTGAAATACAACGGTTATGGCTGCTATTGTGGCTACGGAGGGAAAGGCACACCCGTGGACGCAACTGACAGGTTGGAATGGGAGTCGATAGGGTTAATTTGCAGGAAAAAAGAGAAACGAAGGCTGCATGGCAAATATTTTCAAAATTGCAACAAATTAATTTAATTCACAAACATGTGTATATGTGGTATTGCATATAAGAACGCGTCCTACCCTTTAAAGCCAAACTAGTGAAAAGCTCACTCAAACCACTCCAAAGAGTGAATATAATTACAAAAGCTAAAGCCATAATGGACAGCTCTGTATAAAACTAGACATCCACTTTGTAAGGTTGGTTTTCACTCCATTTGTTAATAAGGGATTCGCTCTTTGTGAGTGATGCATTTTTCACTCTTCTTCATTAAAATACAGTCCAACTTTAGGAATTGGCACAGAATCATTACCAGTTATCGCGAGATTATAATGGTACGTGTTAATATTAAGCCCAAACTGTGAGCGATGCACGTCAACGTTACCCGTAATACAAAAGTTGATGTATTTCTCATCAGATGCTGTAAAGTGCACGATGAGTGTTACGGGAGAGCTGTGGCTGAAGGAAAGTGCTGGACTGTCGAAACCTACGCTACCACGTATTGGTACGACAAATCCACGTCTTCTGGGAGCTGTTCCATCAGATGCTGTGAGATATATTTACATATTTCGATCCTGTAAATTGTTTGCTACCGGTTATATTTCGCTTGGGAAGTTGTTGATGATTATTTATGATTGGTGCCCATTCCATCGATATTATTGAGCTTCCAACACCATGGGCACGTAATGGGTGGCACGGGTGCACATTTAAGTGAACAGCGTGCATTAATATGTGTGTATACGTGGCAGACCCGGTGTCCAATTCCTAATGGAGTTTACGAATCCGCTTGTGTGAGAGGATTGTGGAACCAGACTACATGCACTTGATAATGCATTACGGGGTCATCGAACAAAACCAAAACGCTCCTCATAATTGGACAAGAAAATGCCATAATTTATTCTCGGTCAATCAAAATATTTTTACATATATGGAAAAAAGTTGAGCAAACCCACGGGAGAGGCATTTCTTTTCCTTTGGACCCCCATAGGAAATACTACCTTTTACAGGTTTTACTCGATTTTTGAATAAAAAAGGCCACATGTTCTCAGCTGAAATCTTAATCGGTGTTCAGACCAACGTAAAGAGGAGAAATCAGGCTATTCAATGTTGAGCGAGCCTCTAGTCTGGCTATTGCTCTAAAATCCAACTCGTCACTGCCAATTACCAATTCAGTTTGCTGATTGTGTGTTTAGTTTACCGATAAAAAAAGGAAAGGCGCATCAAACAGCACGATTTGTGCGTGATCGCTACTTACCGCATGTGCGCGCGCCAGTACTACGTACCTCTGCGTACTGTGTTCCCGATCGGTATAGCATCGCTTTCGCCTGTTCATCACGATCATCATGCCCACAATGTAACCCTCTTTTTTTTCCTCAATTATAAAAATAAATTACCGTTCCATTTTAATAGAAATCGGATCTCTACAATATTGTGTATTTATACATCTTTAACCAATAAAACCCTACAAACAAATGTTAAACACTTCAAAGAGAGATCGTTGATGAACTTATTCCTGTACCAGAATCATGCATATACAAACCGGGTTACGGTAACCGAGGTTATTCTTATAAAATAACAGGTTGTGTCGCAAATGGTTATAAACCGAAATGTCAAGCAGAACAAAATTTGAACATTTCAGTTGTAAGCAATAGTGGGTTAATTGGTCAGTCTGAAGCCCCCGATCCGACATTTGTATATTGGCTCGATAGCAGCCGTGTTCAAGCCGGGTACCAGTCACGGCCTCCCATAGGCCAGTTGCGCAGGCGTGCAACAGACCTTCACTAGAACTCGCGCAAACGTAGTGCGTGCACTACGTTTGCGTTTGCGGTCGGGTTCCTACAGTAATCAAAACAAAGGAGACAGCATTTGCAGTGTTGACATATAAATCATGTTCCCTAACTACGGAGAATTGATAAATTTTTTGGCAGGGCTTTTCCACGTAGAAGGAGAATTTCAGATTCAGAATAAAAAAAAAAAAAAAAAAAAAATTGACTACTTTCACATATTAAGATTTAGTATCTTTACCAGTTGTAGTTTTGTAATGATTAAGAATACAAGCTTAGATTAAGTTACACAAATAGCCCTTCGCTAAGGCAACAGTGGCTCAACACATTACCGGCATTACCCATCTTGTGCAGCGCACGTACATTAGGATCTAGCTGCAGGTCTCTCTCCAGTCGCTTCAAAGATTTGCGGGTAGCGCCACGATGGCCTTGGCGAAAGACTAACGCAAGAAGAAAAGGCGCCTTTTGATTTGAAATAAACTGGAAGAGAATTGCTTTTCCTGCAAGCATCGTTTACCCAATTCAAGGGAAGTGCATGGTTTCGAGGAAACCTAATTAAATCCACACGAGCAACAAATGCTTTATGACGAGAACATTTTTTTTATTGTTTTGTTTTGCAGGGGAAGAGGGTGATTACAACTTTCTTGTTCCAAGAAAAGCATGCAAGACCTTTGTCTGTGAATGCGACCGCAAGGCGGCGCAATGCTTCGCCGACAACCGGTCTTCCTTCAACAGCAAATATGTCAGCTACAAGAAGGACACCTGTTAAGTCACGTATCTGACTAGCACACCACAGATGGTTGAGAACAGATTGGATAAATACTGGAGTAAGAGCTGACGCATTGACAAAATCATAAAAAATGACTCAAAATATGACCGTAGAAGCCACGTAAACAATATGGTGACATTAATTTGTACAAGAGACTTTATAAAGTATGAGGAATTAGATATTTACACATAAGACAATAATTATGACGAGTGTGTTTTGCAATGAGAACTGATATCCAGCAATTTAAAAACCATTTAGACTTTCCTCTCCTGATAATTACCAAACCAAAAATGACAAAACATTCGTTCTGAGGCCCACATCCTACACGCATAACGAGTGGGTTCATCATCTGAGAAAAGACGGATTTTTAAATTTTTCAAGATTTTATATTACTGATAGTAACGGTAAGAAAACTTGCACTAACGGCTTCCAAACATTGGAAGAGTCCATCTTGATTTTCAAATTCGTAATTTCAAAGCCCAAATTTTGTTGACTTACACGACATGGGGAAAGACTGCAGGGAGGGGGATGTTGGTCCTCTAATCCCAACAAATCTATCGCTTCCAGGAACGCCTGTAACTTGAAAGAAAAAAGAAATTTAGCGATTTTTCCTCATATTCAGCTTCCCTCCCCCCGAAACTTAACTTCGCAGAACCCTGGTAACAGGGGTATCCAAAACATCAACATTTATTTTAATTTTGGATCTACCAAGTTTGGAGGTTGTCAAGTTTAATGGTTGGCAAGTAGCAGCTTGGTAACAAAAACGTGATATGAATTGTAAAAAATCTAGAAAAGCTTTTCATGGGAAATGGCATTAGGAAATCATGGCATAAACGAAAATAGACAAAATAGACTTATTCAAATAATCCTCATAAAATACACCGCAAGCAATAACTCTCAGAGCCCCTTTCTGATTAGATTCCAGCAAATGTAATTGATTTCTCTTAAGAGAACCATGAAAAACTTGAAATACGTAATAACTCTAACGCAGACTGTGTGAAGCAGGTATAGAATAGATATTTTATGAGTAGGCCATATTGAATGGAAAGGGGGGTTAACTTTCCTATTTGGGACCCAGAGAGTAAAAGTGAAAGCAATACAAATAAAGGTTTATCGCAAATCAAAAGTTTGTTTATGCTGATGAATTGTTTTTAAAAATATGTGAGTATTTATATCAAAATGTCTTTTAGCCACATTTAAGAAAAATGAAAGTGAGGCTTGGAACCCAAATAATCTAGCTGCACACATTATATGAGCAGGACAGATTCTGGGAACACGATCAGAAATGATGTACCCTGGAACAACAGTCATACTAATCCCACTCGTCGTATCTGCCTTGAGCAGGACTCACCAGTTGAAAAGTGCCATGTTGGTCGGGAGTGTTCATTTTGTTGGTAGCGATGTGCATTTCATTGTCTTCCAAGAACCAAATATTCTGAACTTGCCCCCGTCCACATTTGGATAGCATAATTGATATTCGGGTATTTCCGGGCCGTGTATGTACGCATAAAAGGTATATGTTTTCTTTTGCTTGTTACCCACATGTAACACAATGTTGCAATGTTCAGTCGCTCATGTTGCCTTTTAACGCATTTTTTGGGAGTTTAATTCAAGATTTCAAAGTGACTGCCAACCTTAACAGCCTGCATGTACATATAAACAAAGGATCCACCCAGGGCTTTCATGTGACCCTTGACATATTGTATCATGAACTATTCATATCCGTGGTCAATACCTGACCTAAGATTTATCTAAAGCTGTCAGGGAACCTTTGGTCAGGGAACCACACTGCAGCCTGCTGTACAACTTCGTACCCAAGTTCAGGTCAATACACGTGCAGGAAACAATACTTTCAATTCTGGAAGAGTTAATGTGCCCCATTGGTCACGTACCACGACAAACAATATACGCTCATGTTCTGCCAATCCAGTACATGCGTTTTTGTGGCATAACATGATCGATTCTCTACAAAAAAAATCATTATCTGTTACCGTGGTAAAAATTGAAATGGAAAGCGCGCTTTTTACATTAGAGTTGAAATCCGGTTGGTAAATTCATACTTTTCGCTAAACGTGTACTACGAGGCACGATAGAGAAATGTCCACTATGTTTCCTGAAATTCATTTTTCTAAACAGAAACTTGGCTCTCTGCATAGGCCTAATGCATCTGACCTTTTCTGTCCGATACCCAGCTTTTAGCATAAAAGACGGTTAATAAAGGTGACAAAAACAAACGTGATAATCAGACAGTCGAAGGGCTGCACCAACTTCAGGTTTGTTGCAATTTTCACCCATACTGGTGTAGGTAAGATCGACCGTGGCATCTTTACGGGTTGACCCATTCATCAGTTGCTTCAGTTAATAATCTGGCATAATGGCTGAATCCACCCATACAACAATACCATCACTGGCACATGTAGACACACAGAAATGTAAACGAACAGCAGCTCATGGGAAGTTCTTTCTTTCTTTCTTTCTTTTTTTTTGGGTTAAAGACCCATCCCAGTGACCATGATTAATGGTCCGGGAAAGCGCCTTGGTTGTGATTTAATCCAATTCGATTCAATTTTCGGTGGCGACAATGCAGGCAACAAATAACATGAAAAATAACAATGTTATTAAGCCCGCATGGGTGAAGATTAATATGGGAGTTAACGGGTTTGGTGTTGAGTTTTGGTAAATATAAAAACTCGTCCACACAGACCTTCCAAAATCGTGCCAATACGTTTTCACGAAAAGACCTTTGCACAAAAACCACAAGCTTTGCACACTTTTTCTCTAATTTGTTTTCAGAACATATAGTAAGAATGTGCCTAATCCTACAATGATAATGTTTTGGACCAATATATGTATTTCCAGTAAATTTGCATTTCCTGAGATGAAACAACTGCTTGCATGGTACGAATTCTCTCAGCCTCATTACGTATATGCAAAGTACCCTCAAAATCGGTCATATGCAGTTCCTAAAAGAAGTCCACATAATGTAGGGTGCGATGGCGTTGTGTGGACTCGCACATGTTCACACACACAAGCGCAAGCATGTATGTGTATACTTGTGGGGTATTTCCTTTGTTCTCGTGTACAAAACTCCCACACAACTCGGAAAAAAATTCAAATGACTGCCATTCCAACCAAATTCAGTTTCATGGGTTGAAATTTCGACCGTATGTCCCTTATATGAAACACTTCAATTTACGACGGATGAATGGCACTTGAGATTTCCTCCTTTTGAAGTAAATTTGAAATATCTATTTCGTGAAATTCTTATGGGGTACCACTTTAGTACCCCACAAGGATCAAAACTGCCCTTGTGGGGTACCCTCTACTATTCCGGTAGCACCATATACAAGCGCACCCACACTTACCTTACATACCCTCTGTGGACATTCCTTTCTTTTCGTGCAGTTAACAAAACTCAGTGAAAATACTTGTTTTTCTTGAACCTCGGACACGATTTTCAGTTGGATTTTTGTAAACGTTTCCTTGACTGCTCTGGACGTCCTGTGGACGTGCTTAAGTTCACAGAATGTATTCCTTTCCTGCATCTTGTGGAAATCTTTTGTTCACAAGTCCACACTGTGTATGTAAGGTTAGCGTAATGTATTCTTCTCTCTCAAAAACACTTTCAGGGCATTTTGGGGTCAAGTTTATCCGTGGCAAAATGAAGAGGAACAGTCAGGGAAATCATCATAAGAAATCCAGCTTGAAGGAGTTATTAGTTGGAGAAAAAAGGAACATTTTCCTCAAGTTTTTAAACACAGAATAACAAGGAAATGTCCACACTTTTTATGTAAACAGGGGTGGGTTTGTGTGTGGGTGAGTACTGCTGCCCCAATTTCGGGTCATATTTGACCCGGAAATGTCATATTTGACCCGTCATGCTGAATGGGACCCAATTCTGGGTCAATCTGACCCGGAAGTTTTTAGAGTGTAGATTATGGAAACATGGTCAACGTGAAGTTAGAGGGGTACACCAATTGGTGTTCTGTACTAGAGCTGCAAGTCTGACTTGGATGATTCAACATGGTCAGTAAAGCAATTCGTACACACAATTTACAAAGTCACAAGTGTTATTTTGCTGACACGTTTGTGGTTTTATTGACTGACAATATATTGTATTATTGATATGTAATCTTGTGGCTTCTTAAGGAAATCAATAATTTATTATCAATGTTTAAATAAGAAAATGAGATGATAGGAGATGGTGCACTTGATTTTAATTATTGTAGATGTTTGGTTTTGAGGTTCAGCGTTTTTCCATGTTTTGTGGTTTTTGTGTGTATTAATGGGCATTTTGTATTAAGTTCTGTTCTCACACATTTCGGCCAACGAGTGTAAAAATATTGCACTGAATTTTTAGTATATTAACCTTGTAAGTATAGTGTGTAAAAAATTCCAATACCCTCTGATTTAAAACTCAATAAATAATGTCTTGATAAAAGAAAAATTACAAATTATCCTTCATTAGCAATTTACTTTAAAATGTGAGAATTATCAGTAGGATCCTGAGCGAATAGGTTATCTTGAAAATCTGTTGATTTTAGTCTCTCAATCGTTCTATTGTGCATTGATAAGGAATATTAAATAAAATAGTTCCAATTACGTTGTTATAGAATTGAGGTTTTTTGGTTTGTTTGATTTTTGGTTTTTGGTTTTTTAAATTATTCCTCAACCACTTCAACTCTGTAGTGTGTTCTTAACGCATTAACTTGTCCCACTGATACTTCGTGTTAAGGTGGATCAATGTCTTATATCAATAACTCATATTATCCGGAGTATAGACAAACATTCGAAGATATATTTGATGTAGAGCGTCAGACAACGCAATAACGCATCCTTCCGCATTTTGTTAATTTTGTTAATTGTAATATCTGTGATAGCGTGTACGGTTCATGTTCAAGGTTGAGCCATTTAATTGCGTTTTGTGTTGTTTGTTCTTTGCAAATTAATTTTTGAATTGTTTGCCTCTTGAAAAATTAATTTAAAATATATATTTAAAAAATTCTGTAGCAGTGCCAAGGTCAACCTTGGACTTTATGCCTAGCAATTAATTATCTCAATGTTGATGCGGTAGTCTATCACTCATAAAGTTAAAAGAGTTTAATATGTTGACTTAAATTATGCGTAACGTGAAGGCAAATAAGAATTTAACGTCAAATTTAATTGGACCTTGTACCCGCTACATTCACTGTATTCGAGAGGTTCGCCATCGACCTTCAGAAAGTTTCCTCGAATTTGCGTC